ATATATATATATAGTTTCACTAAAAAAATTTTTAAGGGAATTAGTGCACTCAAAAGAACAATGCCCAAAATTTCTGCAACTGGTCTGTTCAAGGACCACTATTTTCAGATTACAAATGAACATCTATATATTCCAGTATTTTATGCTTTATGTTGTCATCTGGACCAATTAAGATCTGTCATCAGAAAGCAAGATTAAGAAAGGGTTCTGTCTGGCTGGGGATGTAGCTCAGCTGCGCCACACCTACCTTGCAAGCACAAGATCCTGACTTCGATCCCCAGACCAAAAAAGAAAAGAAAGGGTTTCATTCTCCCCTCTCCCTCAGATGGCTAGCCTGAACCCAACCTCTCAAAGAGATAAAGTATTCTGATTTGCTAGGCAAGAGCACAAAGATTTAGTTCTGTTTCTGCTGAAAATCTGCATTATCAGATTACAGAACTGTACATGGTAACTCTCAAGACATTACTCTGTAAGAATTCTTGGGATCTTCCTTATTAAGTGTAGTTTTAAATAGTTCCATGTATTTGTAAACCTTCTCCTGAAGATAATCAGTATCCCTGGGGTCTAGGGAAATTTCATTAAACCATTATCTCTAGAAAAGGCATGGCCATTTGAATCATTCATTTCACAGTCAGTAAAAGCAGAAAAAAATGAATGTTCTTTACCCATGTTCCAAAGAAGGCCCAAATGTCTCAGCTGTTCTTACATGCACTCCATAGGCACAGCTGTGGTGACTGGATGCTTCTAAATCACTATGCTCTATGCTTTAACAAACACAGAACACTTGTCTGACTACTCCAAGAGACAGATGCCCCCAGTCTGCTTTTGTACCTGGCCTTGAGAAGACTCTTGGCTTTGTCATCCCAGTGCTCGGACACTGTAAGCAGTTCCTGCAGCCGGGCCATGGCTTTCTCCACTGCTGAGTATGGGGCGAGCCCTACCCCAAGGTCTATGAGACGTCTCATATCATCTAAAGTAAGGGAGCTGGGGTCCAGGCAAGCTTGCTGCACCTCTTCTAGCCAACGGGCCTGCTCCAGACGGGTCCGCATCTCAGCAAGCTGTGGAAGTTCAACATCAAATTCAAAGCTGATATCTAGCAAGTCCTGCAGCTCAGCAGCACTAGGCATTTCCTCAGAGAGTAGTTTCTGGCTATGCTGCTGGAAATCTTCCACACGATTCAAGAGATCCTAAATGAAATCAAGCAAATAAAAAAAGGTAATACATAGGCCAAATTATAGCTAATTCACAAGAGACTATATAATAAAGGAAAAGTTTCCAACTTTATAAAAGGCCAACAGAGGACAAACTCTATACACTCATCACCCAATATTTAAAAAACTTCTGGAAAGTAATTAGCAACTAAAGACGAGTATTTAATAATGTCAATAGAGTTCATTTACAAAATATAGGACCATCAAAGTACTCCCACACATCTTGCTCTGGTTACCTTCAGCAATGGTGTTTGACTGAGGACACAAGGAAGAGCATACAACTGTGTCACAAACTGTCGGAGTTCATTCACCGTCAACTGATTTTGGGATTTTCCCCCACCAGATCGGTATCTGTAAAAGAAGGACACAAAGAAGCTACAATATCATACATGTTCACTACTCACAGGGTGCAGTATCACAGGAATCCAGGACAGAAACAAAATCCAACCACAAAAGGTTTCCAAGTTTAGCTGCCAAAGGGCCCACTCTCAGTCAGAAGTACACACCTAGTCTGTCTTTTGCCATTAAGCAACTGCTGTGCAACAGAGGCACACTTCTCTGCATCCTGTGTGACTAAGCGAAGGTGACGTAAAAGATCATTGTCTGGGAATTTCTTCATTTCAGATTCTTCAATTAAAGTCTTGAAGTTAATAAGGCCTAGGAATAAAGAAAAAAAAGTCACTTTTCTGGGATCATTATGTTGACTGTTATGAAAGTGACAGCGCGATATTTCAAGTTCCTATCTATACACATAACAAAAATCAGGCAATATTTAAATCACTAATAAATTTGTTCAACTGATTTCTGGGGAGGGAATGGATGGGTGAGAAGTTTTTAAAACAAAGTTTTATAACAAGTTTTAGACAAGTTTTAAAAACAAGTTTTTAAACCAGCCGAGCATGGTGGAACATGCCTGTAATCTTAGTGCTTGGGAGGCTGAGGCAGGAGGATTGCCAAGAGTTGGAGCACAGCCTGGGCTACATGGTAAGTTCAGGTCAGCCTGAACTATAGAGCGAGACCCTGTCTTCAAAAACAAGCCCAGGGCTGGTTTTCAATATGGAAACATTAAGACTTGATGGACTGAAGATAATACACAGAAAATAGGAAGCAATCTATAAAATCCAATAAAATAGAGATCTTACTGGGGCTTAGCCCAATTCTTCCTCCCTCAATGTATCTGCAGTTGGCAAGTAAATGGTGCTCAATGACAGGGACATTGCTCCCTTTTATAAATGAAAGGAAAGGGTTACCTGCTGGACTATAGCAAGTGAAACACTCTGAAAGTGACAGGAAGGGCAACAGTGACTTTCATGTCACGGAGAAGTGCTGTGGATCTTAACTTTGTCTAAAACTAAGAAATAATAAACCACCAATTCAGAGATTCCTAATTTTAAAGGCATGCTGATTTTGGGAGGGGTTTTTTGGTACTGGGGATCGAATTCGGGTCCTTGTGCTTACAAGGCAGGCAGCACAACCACTGAGCTAAATCCCCAGCCCAGGCATGCTGTGTTTTTGCAAGATTAAAAAAAAATTATATATAAAGTATTTCTATGGTTCATATGAAACGTAAAATGCTGAGAAAGGGACGTATAAAAGTTAGTCTGCCTCATCCACTGGTGGTTTTAAATTCTCGGCCAGTGCTCTGGAAACCTCCTCCTGTCCAAGAAGATAACCAAGGATGAAATCATCTGTTCTGGGGTAACTAGGCTGGCTGCATGACAATCAGCTCAAATTTGCTGTTCAGAAAGCAATACTCTTGTAACACGTACTTTTCTTCTTGTTGATCTTTGCCTCCAAAGCTTCATTCACATTCAAGGCCCACTCATTGTAAGATTCTGCTCGAAGCTTCAAAGCATTCATCATAGGGTAGAGGTCATCCAGAGTGTATCTATACCTGGAGAGACACCACCAGACGGCTCTGAGATGTCTTTTACTTAACATCTCAGCCCTGGAAGAGGGATGTCACTGAGATACTGTCCATAGAAAAAGATATTCTTCCTACTTACTGAAGTTTGTATTTATAAGGAGGGCAGGAACACAGTTCTTTTACATGATGCAGGCAGACAAGCAGGCCAGGTTTACAGGAACAGGAGATGGCAGACATGAAGCATGTAGTTTTGCATTTTATACACTGCCGCTCATCATCCGGCAACAGCTCAAAATCCATTCTTTCCGAGTCAATCACTCCCTAGAATTAAAATGTGCTTCAGAGACTTCCAGAGGATAATATAATCTACCAGCCTCCAAGATAAACATGCAGTAGCTGAGTTTAAAATCCACTCCTCAAAAATAAAAGCGTTACCAAATACAAATGCATGATTAAAAAAAATGTGTGAGATACAAAGTAACAATGACCTAGCAAATAACCGCATGTTAATTTACCTCACCTATCTAAGGAGGATCCATTGTTGGACAAGGTGTGTTGAGTATGGCCATTTTGATCAGTGTGAAAAGTAATCACCAGCACTACAACACTTCTGAGATAAACTGTCTAACCTACTCCAAATCGGCCTTGTCCAGACTTGGTTACAGACTGGGCCGGGGATTTAGCTCAGTGGTGAGGCTGCCTGCCTCATAAGCACAAGGTCCCAAGTTTGATCCCCAGTATGAAAAGGAAAACAAAAACAAAAACAAACAAACAAAAACAGACTTGCTTAAAAATGAGAGCAAATGAATGAATACAGGAAATATATGCGCTTTCTACTTCTAAGGAATTATTACACAAGGCTTCAGAGTGCTATTACTGGAGAATCTACAAAAAGAATTAAAATAAGAGAAGACAGGGCAAGTGGGAAAGAGAATCATTCAACAATTGCTCAGGGTGGTCTTTACCCTTTTACAAAAAAATTATCTTCTCAGTTATCATCTGAGTAAGGTAGAAAAACTGTGTTACCGGATACACTGAAGTCATTTAATAAAGCACTTCCTAAGTGAAAGACCATCAAGAAAAATAAGGGCTCTTTACCCAGTACATTTCAACTAGTTTGCACCATCTGATTTCTCAAGAACCTTCTGAGATATATCTTTTGTCACTCAAAGCCCAAACTTCTATTACCTTTTCTCCTTATCTGCAACTGGATCATATCCAACTTTGAGGAAGCCTGTCCTAATTATGAACCATAAGTGCTTTCATTTTATTTTAATCTTTTGATCATTTCAAGTTTAACAATTTCATGGACCAACAAAGATGAATAAGGAAAATGCTAATGGAATTTTTGTTTTAATCTGGAACAGATCATTAAAAAGGTTTTTGTGGGATGGAGACAGTGGAACTTTTTGTTTAAAATGAGATTAAAGACCAGTGCTAAGGATTTTAGTTGAAAATGAATTCTATAGTTCACAACTTACAAATTTAACTTACAAATTTGTATCTGAAAAAAATATTACTTTTCAAGGTTACAAAAATTAGCTAACATTTGTATTTATTTTAGCTACCATCACTGATTTAAGACTTTGGTACATCACTTAATTGCTCTCCCCAGTATAACCCATCAGAGGAAGTGTGGGTATCTTGTTCTTGATCCACAATGGAACAGGCTCCACACAGCCAACATTCCAGTACTCTACCAAAAGAGGTACATTAAAAAAAAAAAAAAATCAATGTGACTGTATTAAGGGCCGGGGATTTAGCTCAGTGGTGCCGCCTCCTACCACACAACCACAAGGTCCTGAGTTTGATCCCCGGTACCAAAAAAGAAAAGGTTAATAAGAGTCCAATAAAAATCTATTAGAAATAAAAAGTGAGTTTGCAGGATTCAAGGAGAATACACAAAAGTCATTCTATCGATTGTATTTCTTCATATTAACAATAAACAGTAAGAAGCCAGGGCCAGGGATTGAGCTCAGTGGTGCTACACTTGCCTCAAAAGCACGAGGTCCAGAGTTGGGGGGGGGGGGTTTTAACGTGTCATTTAAAATGAAACATTTAATACTACAAACAACAACAAAAACACATAATTATTCCACGTTCATGGACCAAAGATTCCTCATTGTTAAAAACAAATTATCCCTTATCCCCAAACTATCATAGGTTTAGTGTATTCCCAATTTTTTTATTTTGATAGAAATCAATAAAAAACTCTACAACATGGAAAAAGAAAGGAATTTTTTAAAAGACACACAATATATACATATATATATATATATATTTTTTTTTTTTTGATTGGGGGGCTCGAACTTGGGCCCTTGGGCTTGGTAAGGCAGGCAGTGGAACCACTGCTAAATCCCCAGCCCTCAAAATAATTTTTTAAATAAAATTAAGTTGGAAGACTCACACTATTTAAATTTCAAGACTTCTTATAAAGTTGTGATGATAAAAACAATGGTTAACAGAATGGGCTGGGCATGCTCCCAGTATTCAGGAGGCTAAGGCAGAAGGACTGCTGTGAGTTCAAGGCCAACCTAGGCTACATATTAAATTCAACACTACCCTGAACTAAAAAGTAAGACCCTGCCTCAAAACACCAAAGCCAGGCATGATGGCGCACATCTGTAATCCCAGAACTTGGGAGGCTGAGGCAGGAGGATCACTGTGAGTTCCGAGAACAGCCTGGGCTGCACAGTGAGTTCCAGGTCAGTCTCAACTACATAGTGAGACCCTGTCTCAAAAAAGAAAAAAAAGGTCCTGACAACTGGAAATACATATGCAAAAATCAAATAATTTTCAACCATATCTTGCACAGACAAAAATTACTTAAAATAGGTCAGGACTAAGATTTCAAACATGAGATTCCCACATGACTACAATGGAAAAACCTTTTTGACCCTGGCGTTGGGTTAGACAAGGTCATCTTAAGTAGGACCCAAACCCACACAAGGAAAAAATACCAATACAATGGACTTGATAAAAACGAAAAAGCTGCTAAGCATGGTGGCATATTCCTGTGATGTCAGCGATAGGGATTGGGAGACTGAAGCAGGAGGACTGCAAAGCTGAGCCCAGTATGAGTAGTTCAGTGACTTAGCAAAAGCACGTTAAAAAAAATGCTTAAAAGGTGGTGGTATCCGAGATGTAGCTCATGGTGAAGACCACAAGAGAAAAAAAGAAAAGCTCTCTGTGAAAGACATGCTAGGAGAACCAAGACAAACTAGACTGGGCAAAATATTAGCAGAAAACTTTTCTTTTTCTTTCTTTCTTTCTTTTTTTTTAAGAAAACTTTTCTTATAAAGGACTAGTATCCAGAATATATAAACATTCGTACACACCAATTCAACTGATAAAGAAGGGGGGGAAGCTTCAGTGAGGAGAAGATACAGGTGACAAACAAGTACATGATTAAAAGTCAATGCAAATAAAAACGGCAATGCAATATTACAGTGCACCCATCAGAATGGCCTTATTAAATACTAAAGAAAGATTTCTTAAAGCGGTATTAAAGTGTATGAGAAAATTAAGTTAGATCTAGTGACATCAATTAGCACTTTTATTTCGGTACCAGGAACCAAACTCAGGCCCAGTGCTAGGCAGGTGCAACGCTGCTGAGCTACATCCAAGCCTAGGGACATCAATTAGATTTCCATGAAACTTACCAATTTACGGACAACTTCCCTTAAAGCTTTCTCATCCTCAATCATAATGGCCATGTCCTTCTGAACAGTGGAAGCCACTACAACATCTAGGATGTCAGCCTTGGAAGCCATCTTGCAAATCATCTCATCGTGGGAAAACACGCAATAGCGATGAAGCAAGCGATAATGTTCCACACACTGTCGGCCTAATGGCAGCTGCATCAAGGACAGAAGGAAAAACATGCCATCCATCTTTGTTCTACTTCCAAAGACTTCTCATTTGTACTATCAGATTATCAATTGTCACATTCTGGGTCAAAACACAACCAACCTATCAAAACTTAAACCAGGAGTTGGGGGACTTAGCTCAGGGGCACTGCGCCTGCCTTGTAACCAAGAGGTCCTGAGCTCAATTCCCAGTACTGGAAATAAAAATAAATAAGTAAAGCCAGACTCTAACCTTCCTAGACTAGGTCCTGGGCCATATTTATTTTGGTATCCCAAATATTTGTCATATTAGATGTCTTAATTAAAGAAAAAATTTAATGTATTAGTGATGAATTAATACGCATAATATGGAATACAACTGGAATCTAAATTTACACTTATCTTGAAATACTGCTGAACTGTTATTTTCAGTCAACTTCATAATGGACAGTAAGTTTAGACACAACTAATACTATCAGAAAAGCACTGCAACAAAATTACAACTCATTAGATTTAATTCCACACATACCTCATCCAGACTTTTTTTTTAGGTAAATGAAAAGCATTAATAAATATTCAATTTTAACTGAAACCAAAAGCATAGTGGAATTGCCATTATGGATAATTTAAGCCAGTGTGTACAAAATTCCAGAATGGCATTATTTGCTAGAAGTTTGTAATGAGCTTCAGTCAGAATGTAAATCAAGAGGCTCTTTTCTTCAAGAAAGTCCTCTTGGGAGGGCTGAGGTAGGAAGGTCACTGTGAGTTCAAGGCCAGCCTGAATGAGACCATTAAAAAAAAAGAAGTCCTGCTACACGCCAGGCTACTCAGGAGGCTGGGACAGGACAATTCATTCCTTAGGCTTAGGAACTCTGAGCGAACCTGGGCAACCTAATGAAACCCTATCCCAAACAAAAGCAAAAACAAAAACTACCACACCACCATAACGAAAAAGAAAAATGTTGGGCTTGGGATGTACTTTAGTGTTAAAGGATTTGAGCTGCAAGCACAAGGCCCTAGATTCATTCTCCAGCACCAAAAAAAAGAGGAAGTGGAGGAGGAGAGAAAAATCTTAAAAAAGAACCTTACCTCAGCTAACTAAGCACTGTTCTTGGTAGCACATCCTTGATTAACAATGTGGCACCAGTGCCTTACCTCACCTCACTATGGACTGGAAAACCAATTTGCAGAGTGGCACACTGAGCAACAATGGGTACACAGGACAATCTGTAAAGTACTACATACCATTTCCACAGGAAAAATAACATCTGAAAAAGCTCACTCATTCATAATTACATACCCAATCGACAGTGCAGAAGTTCACAGCCTCAGCAAAATTAAAACCTTGGTTAAAACCACTGTGGTAGGCTCTTGGAAATGTAATCACAAACTCCCCAGCACACTGATTTGTTCGATAAACCTAAAGACAGAGATATTAAAGATTTTTAATGTTCTTAGGTAGTGACATTCTCACCAAAGATAATTTGGACATAGACTATTAGATGTTTCTACCCAAAATTTTACAAGTACAGTTTTCTTCCAATTAAAAGTTAACAAGAAGGGCTGGGGATTTAGCTCAGTGGTTCCACTGCCTGCCTCAAAATTTTGCATCAGGTCCCAAGTTCAATACCCGGTACCAGAAAAAAGGGTAAAACCCAACAAGACAGCTGGGTGTGGAGGCATGCACACACCTGTAATCTCAGCCCTTGGGAGGAAGAGGCAGGAGGATCCCCATGAGTTCAAGACTAACAGAGGCTACATAATGAGTTTAAGGCCAACCTGAACTATAGAGCAAGACCTTGTTTCAATAAAAAGTTAACAGGAAAAGTTGGGCATGATGGACATAATTATAATCCCAGAACTAGGGAGGTCTCTTAGGCAGGATTGCTGTTAAGTTTCAGGCTAGCCTGGCTACACAGTGAGGTCAAGGTCAGCCTGAACGATATAGCAAGATCCTGTCTCAAAAAGAAAGAAAAAAAACTTTAAAAAGTTAAAAACTTACTGTGGTAGAGTACTACCTAATTTTTGTCAGAAGATAGAGTTAAGCAGTATTTGAACAAGAAACATTCCTTGTATTATAAAAATGTGGCCATCTCTCACCCCTCCCCATCATCTCTAACTCCCTATTATCTATCATTTATTTGGAATTGGGATGTGTTACGTACATGTACCAACTCAACACAAGACATGTGAACATTATGTACTGCGAACACACACTAATAAACTAAATTTTTAAAATGTGGCCACACCCACGATCAAGACATATTTTTCTAAACACAGCTAGAATTGAAAATATCTTAATGCAGTGACGGCAAACCTTTTAGAGATTCCAATGATAACAAACAGCCAGCCACACGTATACCTTGCATTTCCACCATAGTCCTAGTGCAGTATTATTATCGCCAAATAGGATCTCTTAACACAACTTCAGAAATTCTGCTCTCTTTCAAGAATCTCAAAATACACAGAGCTCTTGCTGCACTGGACCTCATATTTACCGGCCATCATTCCCCTCTTCTGACCCACCTCACACCAAAAGCACTTGCATTTCTCTAGGCACACAACTTACTGTTTGTTATATAATATTAGACACCTTTTAAAACCTCTGTAATTCTAGACTGGTGATTGTCTGATGCAGTGCCTAGATCAAGTAGATCAACACTAACTGGGTACTTGTTAGAAATGCAAACCATCAAGCCCCACCTCAGACCAGTGGAATCAGAAATGCCAGGGCCAGCCGTGTGCACAGTAAAACAAGGTCCAACATTTCAAAACAACTTATCAGGAAGCCTTCTACCTAGATTACTTCTTCCTTCCCCTGCTCACTGCCAAACATATTCCACAATAAGCAGATGCTCCAATTCCTCCTGCAGGTGGCATCTCATGTAGGAGCCTTTTCTGATTCTCAACAGAGTTAACAGTCAAACCATACCACCTGTCCACATCATCATAAACATTACCTTTTCCCTTACATTCTGAATCCCTAAATGCATGAGGAGTTGACTCAAACTTGCACAGCCCTGAAATCTAGCCCGACACAGTTCACCCACAGCTAAGTCTCACACAGAACAAGCTACTCTTGGAAAATGGGAAAGACCAATCAAAACGAGAAAAATGCTAACAATGAAGAGACGACAGACCTTTGGTACTTATTGATCATTATTTTCAAAGCACCACTAATGATCCCTCAAAGTAAGTCCCTTCTGTCTGCCCTCAATGGCAAGCCTGTGAACCCCAAATCATGTAATTTAGACATTGCATGATCAAAAATTCACATGAACACTTTTACTCTGTTGTTTACATTTGATTTAGCTAAGGAGGATGGACTTCACATCTCAGTCTGGCTTCCCCAAATACCTTCAGAATATTTTCCGAAAGGGAGCAGGTATAGGAGTCTCTTTGTATGAAAGCAACTTTAATGTCTCTTTTCAGTCCAGACCGGAAGCCAGGAAATCCAAGCTCAAGACTGCCAAGTAAATTTTCACTTAAAAAAAACGTTTTTGGTTCCACCTTCTGCCTTTCAAGAACAAGGTACCGAGTTAGATCCCCGATACCAATCAATCAATCAATCAATCAAAACTTTTCTTAGTGGAGAAGCATTAATAAGACGAGGTTCTATCTATCATGTTATTTTGGGTCACGATTCAAATTTAAGATCATACAGATTCAATAAAATTTTTCCCACTGAGTAAAATAAAATTATTTTTTAATATAAAGACAGAGTACAAAGGATTCTGATACCAGAGTTTAATAGAATCTATCCACTTTCATAGTAGACTAATCTATACTGACAATTATTTTTAAAGTTTATGTTTCATTGATCAAAAGATTAAAGCTACTGGCTGGCTGTGATGGTATGACCTTAGTACTCAAGAGGCTAAGGCAGCAGGATAGGATAGCTGTGAGCTTGAGGTCAGCCTGACCTACAGCCAGGCCTTTTGTTTGTTTGGGGGGCGGGGGTTTAAAGCTGTAAATAATAACTACAGTTCTGAAACCATTCATGGTGATGGTTATACAACCAGTGAATATACTAAAACCACTGATTTGTATACTGAAAAAAACCGACTGGTTATTATTTGCAAAGAGAAGCTGTTCAGTAATCTATGTATAAGCGACAAAAGATAAACTAGGAACTCATAATTTTAAAAAAAATAGAGGAAGTAACTCCAGCCCCCCATACATTAACGAAAAGATTATTTTTATGGTGTCTGAGAATCTAGTCCCATTAGGTTAATGCTAAGTGGTACCAAACTGCACAAAATAGCTGTTTCTGCTATTAAGTTATACAACAAAAAATACATAACCAAGTCAATGAAAAGAGAACTATGAGGAAAAAGAAAAGTGGTGAATTAAGTCAGAGACACAGGAAGACTAATCCAGGACATACAGGCACTTCGTGAGTCATCAGGGTATTGGGGTTCATGATGGTCACAAGCTGATGCAGGAGATCAGGTTGGGACACGAAGAGCTCTGGAGCCAGTTCCTTCATAACATTTTCTAGCTGCTCGGCAGCATACCCCGGGACTCCATACCAGGTTTTTGGCTCACCCCTGGAATAGATTATAAAAACAAATCAATCTGCAATAGTGACACCAACAAAATGGTTAACCAATTCATAATTTCCAGACCCTGCTCTCTGAGACTAAGCTACAAAGGAATGTTCATGCTGAAGTGACTTGAAACATAGACTTGAAATGTGACTTGAACATACACAACACATTTCCCCTCTTCAAGTATGAAGTTAAAGCATAAGAGTTTCCATCTGAGGTCCATCTCCAGCTGCCAGTTTTATCTGACCTTTTATAAAAAATTGCTATAGTATACGTAGTTACCAAACTTTCCTGTAATGACTGAGAAGGGATGGCAACTATTACGGTTTATATGCAAATGGCCCCCCAAAGCCTCACTGAAACCACAGGCAGGCTTTGGGAAGGTTAGATTACAGGAGTACCACAGATGAACTGTGTTAGGAGGTGGGGTCTATCCTGGAGGATACTTCTCCCTCTCCGGCTCTTCCCTTCCCTACTTCCTATGTGCCAAGTGGATAGTGAGCAGCTCTCCTCCACCCATGCCCCTCTGCCATACCATCCAGCCCAGGGGCTGGCTGACTGGAGACTGGAAAGTGAGATCAAATTAGGATCTTTCCTTAAGTTGTGTCCAGTATTCTGTCCCTGCTAAGACAACAACTGTCTTATCTTTCTTGTCCTTTGCCCATTCTGACTGATGAGATTAAATCAAACACTAACAAGGCCATTAGCGTTTCTAAAGAGCTTACTCTTCAAAGCACTTTAAATCTGTAATATCCCTATGAGGTAAGGAAAATATCATTTTCACTTTACCACTGTGAGCAACTGCCTAGGGTAGCAGAACTGATGTTCTACATACACATTCCAACTCCCTTTTCTTGTGGTACATCCTTAGACCCCTTGTGTGGGGAATTTGAATTATAGATCTCCAAATAATTTTATACTTAGAAACGCAGCGGGGGCGGATGTAAAGAATGGATTTGGCTGAAGTTTAAATTGTAAAGAAATCCAAGTATCTGATCAGCACACACACACCCCAGCATCCTTCCATACACTCTACTAAGTGTTGTGATGCCAATCAGCACAACAAAAATGAAGCTGGAAAAAAAAAAAAAAAAAAAAA